TAAAAAAAAAAAAAAAAAAAGTGGTTGATTGAGCAAGATCACCTGTAAGGGGGAGGAGACTAATGTTTATTATGCCCATGATAGCCCAGAGCCTCGACTTAGCATTTACATGGCATCTCCTTGCTGTTCTGGTTTGCATGGTTCACAATGATGTTCAATGCTGCAGTCAGACACTGAGACAGCCTGAGCCCCAGTTCAGGCCCAAAGCTGGGCTAGACACTGGGTGGAGGCTGGAATCCAGGTCCTTCCTGAAGGACAATAGAGTCTGTGGAAGAATTAGATGGACACATTGTGCCTGGAGTTATATTTTTTAGGACCTTGTCTTAGTCATTTTCTTTGTCACTGAGACAGTGTCAGACATTTACAATTCAAGGGAGGAAAGGCTTATTTTGCCTCCTAGTTTGTAGAGGTTTCAGTCCATAGTCTATTGGCCCCAAGGCAGGGCAGCATGGCAGAGGATCGAGGTAGAAGAAAAGCTACTCACCTCCTAGGGAGCAGGAAGTGGAGACTGAAGGTTGGAGCTGGGGAGGGAGATAAATGCTCCCAGGCCATGCCCACAGTAACCTGTATCTTCCCACCAAAACCTACCTCCCAACAGCCAATCAACTATAACCACCCTCATCCAATCACCTTCTAAAAGCCCAGCCTATGAGAGCATGAGACTCTTGGGAGACATCTAGATATAATCCATAACAGATCTGCTTTTTCCTCCCACCTTCCCTCCCTCTCTTCTTTCCTTCCATCTTCCCATCCTTCCTTCTCTGCTTATACAAGAAAGCACCAAAGCGCACAGCGTGGGCAAACAGCTCTGAAAGCACAGGGACCTCGGGAGATGATTTAGTCATTTGTACTGGGTGATCCAGGACAAAACTGGACAAGTTGGACCCAGCCTGCCCTGGAGGGGGATATAGACTTTGAAACAATCACTCACACTCTGAGGAATGTATTCCATTGTTGGGAGCAGTATGAGTAGCATGAATGAAAAGCACAGGGCATTCTGAATGGCCTAACGAGGGCACTGGTCTTGCCCAAGCTGCATTTGAGGGTGTGTAGGAACACTGAAAGGCCATGGAGCAGTGTCAGGGAAAGTATTCCAGAAAATGCATAGGGCCAATGAGAGTGAAGGGCAGAGAGCTGGGAAGGCTGCTGAGGAACAGGCTTGGGGCACATGCATGTCCCTTATATGCCTGTCCACCCTTTCACTCTCAAGTGTCCTACTTTGGATGATAAACTGCAGAGGTCTTACTTACATATTAGGAAGCTTGTCCTCAGAACAACCAGCACACCAGGAAGGCCCGGTCACTGCTCCCTTATCCTGGCCTCTAGCCTGCTGTGCTGCACCTCCAGGAGCAAGGCCTGCCAGCCTGAGCAGCTGAGCAGTTACCTGTGTCCATTGCCTTCTCCCCAGTAGTCCCTGCTCCCTGCATGCCAGCCGCCCCCCCCTACAGTATCTTCAGGTGACAGCTTTACCAGCATACCACAAGCCAAGCTGGTTCTTGGCTCCAGGTTTAGTGAGCCAGTTGACTGCTGACCTTACCCTCAGCTACTCCCTCAGGATGCGCTCCAGGCCTTGGCCAGGCCAGGGCCTTATGCTCTTTCCACTTTTCTTTGTTTGTATTTGTTTATTTATTCATTTAGCCTCTACTTGTTTTCTTCTCTATGTTATTCTCCCCCTCTGCCTTGCCCTCCTCTCCTTTTCTTTTCTCTAGATAGGCTGGCATCATGAGAACACATGCCCCAGCGAAGATGGAACTGGGGTCAGATCCCCGCTCTCACTGCTGGCAAATGCATCCTCCCATCTAACTCATTTTCCTGCCCTAGGAAATGGGGATGTCTCATCCCGCGTCTCTGGAGGTAAGCTGAAATGAAGTCCACAAAAGCTCTGGCAAATAAATAGTAGGTGTTCAAATAATTGTTCCCTTTTGCGACTTTTTCCTCCCTGACATTCTGCAAGTCCTGGTCACACAGTGAAGTGAGACACGTGCCCCGCACCCCTACCCCAGACTTGCCCCTAACCATCACACTCTGGGCACAGCCTCTCCGGTCTCAGACTTGAGCCACCAGTGTCACATGTAGCCTTTCCCCGGCTAGCCCTGTGAGAGGAGGCGCGCCTGGGTGTCACAGCTGGCCTCTCCCATGGGAGTCCCAGGGGGCAATGGGAGGCGTCTTCTAAGCTGTGACTCAGGCCCAAAAATCATTTGTTTCTTTCACCAACTAAGAGACTGTTGTGAGAGTCAGTCTCACAACACCAGCTGATGGCCTACAGACCCCTCACTGTCCACATCATACTGCCTGCCCTTTGCAGCCTCCTGGTCACTGTCCTTGCCCTTGTCCCCAGTTGGAATACCCTTCTGCTCCCCCCTTTCTCACAGGGGCCTTACATCAGCTGTGAGGCTGACACATGACCCAGGAAGGAACAGGATTAACATGGGACATTCCCACACTGGTACTTTTGATGAGAATGTGTCCAGTGTGATTTATTGTATCATTTCTTAGAAGACAAAATGAAATAGCTTATGTAGTATTACAGTGGATCTGAAGTGTAGACACAGCTCTGCAGGGACTCAGACTTCTTGCTCTCCCTTCTCCCTCTGCCACATGACTTCTCACATAGTGCTGTTGGAACTTACTTCCTGGCTGTCATTTAATGGACTGTTGTGTAAATAAACTCATCAATTTATGGCAAATAGATTTTTTTTTTTTACTAGAATACCAAGATAACTTCATGGAGAAAGAACAGTCTCACAAATGACACTGGAACGGCTGCATATCTACATGCAAACAAGTAAAGTTGGACCCCTACCTCACACCATGTGAAAAAAAATAACTCAAAATAGATCAAAGACTTGAATGTAAGACTACAACTAGAAATTTCTTAGAAGAGAACATCAGTATAAATCTTCATGACCTTGCATTACACAATTTTTTATGATGTCAAAAACAACCAAATACAAAAATTTGAGAAACTGAGCATTAAAAGCTTTGCACTTCAAAGGGCACTGTTACGAAAGTGAAAAGACAGCCCAGAGAATGGAAGAAAATATTTGCAAGTAAAGTATCTGGTGTCTCATATCCTAGTATCCAGCATACATAAAGAACACTTACAGGAGTGAAGGGAGGGCAGGGACAAGGGGAAAAAATGACAACCAAGACCTGTCATGTAAAGGTACAAGATCCCAATGATGAATGTAACTGTACTGTACACCTAAAATGTACCAATAAACTCAATGAGAAAAAAAAAGAACCCTTACAACTCAGTAAGAAAAGGACAAATAATCCATTTTTTAAATGGGTAAAAGATTTGAATTGACATTTTTCCCAAAGAAAATATGCACATGGCTAAGAATCTTATGAAAAGACGTTCAATAGGTGTGGTGGTGCACGCCTGTAATACCAGTTCTCAGGAGGCTGAGGCAAGAGGATCACCGTGAGTTCAAGGCCTG